GATTATTATGTATTGGAGTTCTCATTACATATACATATTATATAATTTGTATATTTAATAATAGACCAGAAAACGTCTCTATGACGTTCCATGATGAGTCATATGTTAAAAAAATAATAATAATAATAATAACAAACTAGACTATTTGATCAATTATCCTTAACGTTAAACCATTGACTAATGAAATTAGTCAACTATGATTTTCGAAAACCGCTGTCCCAAAAGGACATAATACCGATTAATATGACTCACTTAGTTTGTTTGTTTATTTTTTGATCATGAAATTTAAATTAATTAAAAAAAAACTCGAAAGCTGATATGTTAATCTATCGCTATATACTGTATACTGGTATATATTAAAAATTTCGCGTCTTTCTGTGGCGCAGTTTTTTTGTACATTATTTGTTCTGCATCATGTTCGAGACCTAATCAAAATACCTAGAGCTGTTAGAATGACTTTATAATTTGGACTTTCTCATCCTAACATAAACCATAAAGAGCTGTTAGAGTAATTTTATAATACGAACTTTCTCTAATCATAAAGAGCTGTTAGAATGATTTTGTAATACAAACTTTCTCATCCTAACACTAACCATAAAAAGAGCTGTTAGAATGATCATTTTGCTTTATTTAATTATTTGATTTTCATGGTACACTGATGATTGCTGTCTTCTTTTTACATATCGTGTATTATGCAAGGAAATTTGGGAAACGTAGAATATCCTGCAGGGTATGATAATAAAGGTGTTTAAATCTAACTCATCATTTAATGACGGGTCTAACATCTAGTTTTTTATATAAATATCCTGCAACAATTTTATATCTACCAATATAACCCTTCAAATTTATAAGCAAGCAGATATGTTTATATTTTTAAAAAGGGGCCCATATACACATATAAATACAGAAATAGAAAATTTTCATATAAGCTAGCTCCTAACCTTAAACGATAACACAGATTTACAAATTAGTACTCATATGTAGGCTATACAAAGTTAATTGTTTTCTTATAACCGAGTCGGACCTTTTTTTTTTTATGTTTTTAGAAAAAAAAATTTCACAAATTTCACTATTATAAAAGCTCTATGGTGATTCGTTTATGATTATAAAAATTAAAACCCATGCGTACACAGTATGTGAGCTATGAGAAAATATGTAACTAATTAAGTTTAAATTCAAATTGTTTGCAGTTTATACTAATTATTCACTTTCAGAAATCAATTAGCTCTACCAACCTTCTTTCCCAAAAATAATTACATAATGAAATTTGCCATTACGTATGTCGGAATTCTGTCGTCCCTGTCTCTATTTATAGTTTTTCAAAATCCGAAAGCTTTTCTAATTAGGAAAATGTACCAACTTTATCTAGTTATTTTAATTTATGCATATTATATTTACGGAACAGAACTCCCTCTGTGACATATAGTATAGACTAAATTAATTGACTATTATTTATATAAAGATGTGATACATAATTTTTGAATATTTGTTTCACATGGATACTTTATCTCGGAGTATCTCATTTATACGCATGTAAATGAATGCATGTAACTTCGCGCATGCATTATAAATTTTAACAATTTAGGAAGGTACTGCTTGCAACCCTAACTTCTAGTATATACATATATATATCATAAATGAGCTCAAAAAGTTATGAAAAAGGAGGCGGCTTAGACTGGCTTGGCAAAATAATTTTTAACTCATACTAGCGCTAGGTGTCATAATGGTTAATACGTAATATAATAACATCTAATCTCACGATTGATCAATCATTAAAAAGCTGCTTTTTGTTTTTTTGTCTTTCTACTTAATTCTGGAACGAGTAAATCTTAATATCTATTAAATTAATTTGCAAAGATGCAAATTCAAAAAATTAATTATTGGTTTGTCATTTTTATATGGTCGATAAATGTGAGTTTTGGCGTACAACTTAGCTGTGATTCTCCCATATATTGTTATGGTCCAATTCTTGAAAAAATTCAATTATCTGGTTTATTTAATGATTCAAAAACTTTCGTTGATATGGTAAGTTTATTATATACTTAAATATAACTTTAATTAATAAATTTTGAGTCTAAACAAGGATTTATCTAATAGCCAACAAAGAAACCGCTCAAAGAAGTTCTTGATGCAGCGTCAAAACTCAATCAAAATGCATCTAAATCTGTACTACAAGACTTTGTCAACACATATTTTGATAAGGAGGATAAAGAATTAACTCAAACAGAAATTCCCAATTTTAACTCATCTCCATCTTTCCTTCAAAAAATTAAACAACCAATTATTCGTGAATTTGCCAAAATAGTACATAATTGTTGGCCAAATCTTACACGTAAAGTTGATCAGAGCTATTTGTGTTCAGGATGTGTATCGAGCTTTATTCCGGTTAAAAGGAATTTTGTAATACCCGGTGGAAGATTTCGAGAATTTTATTATTGGGATAGTTATTTTGTTATTGAAGGACTACTTGTTAGTGGACTATATGAAAGTGTTAATGATATGATTCAAAATTTTTTGGATTGGATAGATACTTATGGATTTGTGCGTAAGTAAAAATATATAATTTACAATAAATTAAATATCAATTTGTAATATATATATATAACTAATATTTAATTAAAAGCAAATGGTTCACGAATATACTATTTAAACCGTTCGCAACCTCCATTATTGACTCAAATGGTGAAAATTTATTATGAAGCTACCAATGATATCTCACTACTTCGTAAAGCATTTCCATTATTACTCAAAGAATATAAGTTCTGGCGCAAAAATACTACAATTCGTGTACATAAAAACAATAAACAATATGAATTAAATCATTATAATGTTTACAATATTCATCCACGTCCGGAAAGTTATATTGATGATTATACTGTAGTTGAGAAGAGTTCATTTAATTTAACTACGAAACATGGATTATACTCAGATATAGCGACGTGTGCGGAATCAGGATGGGATTTCTCATCAAGATGGGCAAGAAATCCTTACATTCCACCAGTTGACAATTCGAGTAATAACTATAAAATTCTTCGTACGTTAAATACTAGATCTGTAATTCCGGTCGAGCTAAATTCAATTTTATATATGAACGAAATTACCCTATCCGAATTCGCAAAACAGATTGGTGATTATAAGACGATGGGAACTACAATAGAGTGGCTAGAGAGTTCGGCAAAAAAGAGACTTGAAGGGATGATCGAGTTACTTTGGGATCATAATATCTCAATGTTTAGAGATTATAATCTTACTAGTGGTGCTAAATCTAACATAGTTTCTTTAGCTTCATATTTTCCATTTTGGTAAGATTCAAAATTTTAGTGTCTTCCTAAAATATGCTATTAACTAATATTGTTACTCTTTAATATCTAGGGCTCAATCATTACCAGAAAATGTCCTTACAGATTCAAAAAAAATTCTCAAATCTTTTTCTTTTATATCTGCTCTCTTATCAAGATATGAAGGTTCACCACCAGTCACATTAATCCAAACTGGTTTACAATGGGATTTCCCGAATTCCTGGCCTCCACTGAATTATGTAATAATCA